TTTCCCTAGATTTTCAATTATATTTTTATTATCTTCAAGAACTTGTTCAAAGAAGTTACTATTCAACAAATCAGTTTATATGTACAATACACCTTGATCATTGTAACCCCTTTTATCATTCTCCACACTCCCTCCAAGCCTTCCCCTTTCCCTCAATTTTCTTAGTATCATGTGATACCCCTTAGTAAGCCATTTATTTCTATAGCAACTCTTTCAAATATGTTAAGGATGAATTTTTAACACGTGATAGCATGGCTTACAGTATAAGCTACCAATACTTAACCACAGTTGACAAAAAATCTGATCTTCTACCATCTCAATACTGTAGTTTATAAATTATATTTCAGAATTTTTAATTATATATCAATTAAATATTTTGAAATAGTTTCTAAAATATTTCTCTTATTTAACTATTATTTCTACAAGCCCTGATTTTGAGTAAATAAATTAGCTAGTTTGTTTTGTCAAACAAATACTTGAAGACACATATAACAAGATCCTACCTAGCATAGCAAAAACTGTGAGAGACGACCTTCCTTGTCACCAACTGACTGGTGAATAGAACATATTTTTAAATGCCATAAAATATTTAAATATTGAAGTAATTTTACTACTATAGTCAATAAGAGGAAACTGATGACTAGCATTAACTAGATTAATTATAGACCAAAACAAACACATCAATATTATGCATAGGACTTAAACCAAACCCAGCATCATTCATTATAACATTCAGAGCTGATAGACTTACAATTAAACAATTAGGATACAATTCAAAATTGTCAAGCTTACAAAGAATCAAACAGCGATGGGTAATAATGTTGTCCAACACCTTGTACTCATAGACTGTTTTGTAGAATGGGAATTTCTTTGTCCAACTACTTAAAGATATAATAATAAAAATGTGAAAAAATAATCTAACAATGTTTCCTTTCAGATTGTAAAATATACAGATGCCAATAATGAGAAAACATAAAGATGTTATTGTCTTACAAAGAATTTAAAGCAATTACAAAATTCTTGAACAAGTAATTCAAAGCATTTATAAAACAGTATTATGACATCTCAGTAAAGAAAATATAAGCTGGATACCAGTGGCTCATGCCTGTAATCATAGCTATTCAAGAGCCTGAGATCTAAGGATCACAGTTCAAATCCACCCAGGGAAGAAAAGTCTATGAGATTCTATTCTCCAATTAACCACTAAAAGCAAGAAATGAAGATGTGGCTCAAGTGGTTGAGTGCTAGCCTGGAGCAAAAAGCTAACGGATATTACCCAGGCTTGAGATAAAGCCCCAGGACAAGCACACACAGACACAAAAACAGAAAAAGAAAAGGAAACACCTAAAAAGGATATGGGTAATTTAGGACTAAATGTGCAATCGTCAAAGTGAGTAATAACTGCTGGATTTAAATAAAAGGGAAAATCATATATTTTCAATAGTATGAAGTATTATGAAAGACTATTCTCTTTTTTAAAATGTAATATATTTTGATTTAAAACCTATCTACTATGGCCTGACTCCAATGGCACACACCTGGAACCCTAGATACTTAGGAATCTGAGATCTGATGAGCTTGATTTTAAACCAGCCTAGACAAGGAAGTCCATGAGACTCTGATTTCTAATTCACCACCAAAAAATTCTGGAAATGGAGCTGTAGGTCAAGTTGTAGGGTGCTAGCCTTGAAAGAAAAAAAGTAAAAGCTCAGGGACAGCACCCAGGGAGTTCCGGCCCAGGACTGAAGAAAAAAAAAACTATGTATTAAGTACTATAAATATTATTGAAAATAGTAGAAAATTTCACATTTACTTCTCAGAACACTCAACAACCAAATCTCCAAAATCTGAAATACTAAATGCAATTACAATAAAATCCCCATCACACTTTGTCATCTGGAAATAGAAATAATCTACATGACCAATAATTCGAGTCAAAATTAAAAGATATGTATTACCTGATTTCAATAGTTAGCGTGTGTGAAAATGAAGCTATAAAGGAATGATATCATTAATAAATTATCTAGAACATAAAACTTTTATAATCAACTAACAAGAAGACATAATTCCAAACCGATTTGAACTGACTCTTAACCAAAGAATGATGTATAACCGATTTTCACAGAGTCACTTTGAAAAATAGTTTAGCCATTTCTGGTAGGACTTAAATAATTTGTCTACCATATGAGCCATTAATCCAACTTCTATGTACTTACTAAAGAGGAATAAAAAGAAATGACCCATGCTACATACATACAAATATATTACATACCTGTAATTGGGACTGTTTTGGAGAGTATGGAAGAAGCTAAGGATAATAACAAAATATTGGAACATAAATAATATTGCAGTAT